CATGATATCCACCCCCCCTAGTCATCACCCCCCTCTTTTCCGCTCCCGAGAAGCGGCGGAGCGACACGCTGAGCCGAAGCTCCCGACCGCACGCCCAGAGGCCTCCCCAAAATGGGGTCCGACAAAAAAATTGGTTCGGGCGACCTCGCCGCAGCGCCGACACATCGCCGCTGCATCGGCGGCGCATCGGCGACGTCAGCTCGGGGAGATCTGGCCTCCGCACCCAGCCGCGTCGCGGCTGTCTGGGCTCCCTGAGCCGGAGTCGTTCAGAGATCTCAGCCCGCGGCCCCGCAGGGAGGTCCCGAGCGCTTCCTCTGGGGGGTCGGCCTGTCGCCCTCGGGATCCGCCCCTGGATCCGAAGGCTGGCCCTGCAGGCCGGGGAGGAGGAAAGAACGCCTAGTTGAAGAAGCATCCTTCGGATGCCTGGGTACAGTCGGGGCGTTGACCTAAGGAACCCTAAATAAGGAACGAGGCCCCTTTTCCCGCAAGTTCAACTTCGATGTACACCCTGCGAAATGCTTAAGAAATCATGGGTTAAGAAATTCATCGTCTCAGAACTTGAATAAAAACCCAACCTTGCTATTAAAATATTAGGATTTACATTGAAACAATAAGAATAATCGAGACTCTGGCCGAAAACTTAAGTTTTCTTAAACATCGCCTAAGGTGTACCCTCGAAGACCTAAGGAAAGGCCTAGGCAAACTTCGAACCAATCAAGGAACACCGAGCCCCTCCCCAACGCAAAGGGTTCCTTCTTCAGCCCCCCAACTGTACTCCACCGAAGAGGCTTGGCTCCTGGGCCATAACTCGGTCCTCAGGCGGCCGTCCGCGGCGACTCGGGCAGCCCCAGAACGCTATCGGCGAGGCGCAGCTGCTCGAACGCGTCGTGCTCCTCCTCCTCCTCCTCCTTCTCCTCCTCCTTCTCCTCCTCCTCCTCCTCCTCCTCCTCCTCCTCCTCCTCCTCCTCCTCCACCTCCTCCTCCTCCCCTCCTCCTCCCTCCTCCTCTCCTCCTCCGTCCTCCCTCCTCCTCCTCCTCCTCCTCCTCCTCCTCCCTCCTCACTTCCATCCTCCTCCTCCTCCTCCTCCTTTTCCTCCCCTCCTCCCCTCCTCCCCCTCCTCCTCCTCCCTCCCTCCTCCCCCTCCCCCTCCTCCTCCCTCCCGCTTCGCGGCGGCGGCAGGCCGTGTGTGCGGGACGCCCGAGTGGCTGAGAGCCTCGGTCGGCGCGCGCGGCGCCCGGGACGCCAGGGCGGTGCGCGCTCCCAGGCGGCGGGCGCTGCGGGAGCGGCGGGCGGCGCTGCGGCGGTGAGGGGCAACGTCTAGAGCAAGAACGTCTCAACCCCTCTTGCTGTTCAAATCCTCCTCCTCCTCCTCCTCCTCCTCCTCCTCCTCCTCCTCCTCCTCCTCCTCCTCCTCCGCTCCTCCTCCTCTCCTCCTCTTCCTCCTCCTCCTCTTTCCTTCTCTCCCTCCTCCTCCTCCTCTCTTCCTTCTCTCCCTCCTGCTCCTCCTCCTCCTCCTCCATTTCCTCCTCCTCTGTTTGTTCCTCCTCCTTCTGTTTCACCAATGGAGGGCGGGCGGCTTTCAGAATGTGGCTCTCGCGTTAGCGCCGCGCAGAATCGTTTTGAACATGTTCGAGAGTTCGACGGATTGAGGCGGGTTATTTTCAAAATGTGGTTCTCGTCTTCGCGCCGCGCACGTTCGCCTTCAACATGTGCAAGAGCTTCACGACCCCGACTGTTCCTCCTACTCGTTCTACCCCTACGACTGCTCCTGCTCTTACTAATACGATAATTACTCTTATTACTTCTAGGACCACGACTACGACTACGACTACGATTACTCCATCCATCACTTCCACTTGAAATCTTCTCACAACAAAGACACTTTTTGCAACCAAGACGCGGCCAGAGCCCAACGTGGGGCCTTATGTGCGCGACATCGATTCTGAGCGATTACAACAAAGCTGTCAATAGTAGTTTTCCACTTGCTGGTGGTGAAAAAGACCTCCCCAGTTGCAAAGAGACCTTCCAGCCGAATATGAGCTGGTTGTGAGAAAAAAAAAAAAAAAAAAAAAAAAAAAAAAAAAAAAAAAAAATTCTTCGTTTGCGAAGGGCGCTCTGGTTGCAAAAAGACCACGACGCGGGGGGCAGGGGGGGGGGGGGCGTTTTCGGGGCATCGGGGCTGGCACGCGGCCCGGGGCAGAGGACCGGCCCTGGGAGAGGGGCCGGTGCCCTGGGACCCGCGCACCTCGGGAGCCCCCCGGCGTCGGACGGGGCCAGGTGCCCCCGGGCCCGAGGCCCCCTCGCGAGGTCCAGGCGGCCCCCAGGGGCTCCAAAGCGGAGCGCGAGAAGCCGGGGGCACCCCTGGGCCGAGGGCACCTCCAGCTCCAGCAGCCCCCGACCCCGGAGGGCCCCGACCCCCGCCGCGGCCGGCTCCGCCCTGAAGCTCTGGCGCCAGGGCGCACCTCCACGGGAGGGGTCCCCAGGGGGGCCGAGCTTGGCCACGAGCTTGGCCACTCCCAGGAAAATGTTGGAAAATATGGGAAGTGAGGGGGAAGACAAAGACCCAGAAAATATCGGAAAATATGGGGAAGTATCCCAGACCCCCGACGTAATGATTTTTTCATTGCGTCGACCCCCAGAGGTCCCGACCCTTTCCCCATGACCGGCTTTGCATCCTGTGTCGTTTTTTGACGCTCCCGAGGCCCGGTGAGGGCCCCCGGGGGCTGAAAATTAGGAAAAACCTCCCGTCATGATTTTTTCATTACTCGAGGGGGTCTGGGTAGTTGTGTGTATTTACTTGTGTGTCCAGGCCTCCGGCGCACTGGGCAGCAGCCGAAGCGACGTGTGTGTGCTCGCCGCCCGGGGGCCCTCCCGGTCGGGGGCCCGGCGGCCGCACGCCAGGGCGGCCTCGGGCAAGAGCGACCTCGGGGTGCGCGACTTGCGGGGGCCGCGGGGAGGCCGAACCCGCGCGCGCAGTACCCAGACCCCCTCGAGTAATGAAAAAATCATGACGGAAGGTTTTCCTTCATTTTCGGCCCCCGGGGGCCCTCACCGGGCCTCGGGAGCGTCAAAAAACGACCCAGGATGCAAAGCCGGTCATGGGGAAAGGGTCGGGACCTCTGGGGGTCGACGTAATGAAAAAAACATTACGTCGGGGGTCTGGGTACGCTGCTCTCGCATCGCGCTCGGTCGTCTGGGGAGCCCAGCGCGGCCGCACTTCAAAGGTCACCCCGGCGGAGCCAAAAGGTACCGATACGTGTCGCTTCTCCCCAGGCCTCCCTCAGGGTGCCTTCTGACCAGGGCTTCGAGGCGAATCCAGCGGTGGTCACGAGGGCCGCCCAGGAGGCCCCAAACGGGAAAGACGAGCGAAGGGTGCCCATCGGTCGGAAGAAGCATGGAAAAACAAGAAGTAGGAAGGCGTTGGAAGTGGATTGGGCTTCCGCCCGCCTCCTGAAGAGGACAGAACGGGTGAAGCCACTTTTGATCACTGCGAAGCAGGAGGGCGCTGAAACGAGATTGGAACCTGGGACTCCAGAAACACCTACTTAAACCTACCAATGGGTACCTTTCCCAGAGATCCGATGTCGTGATTTTTTCAATACGGGGTCCCCGGAAGTCTCGACCCATTCCCCAGGACCGGTCTTTCATCCTGAATCGTTTTTGGACGGTCCCGAGGCCCGGCGAGGGCCCCTAGGGGCCGAAATTCGCGAAAAACCTCCATCTTGATTTTTTTTCAATGCGTTGGATCTCTGGGTCTCCTCCCCCGAACTCTTGCGCGTCGCCCAGCCGTGCGGCCGCGCCCTGCTGCCGCGGGGCCCCGGGGGCCACGCGAGCCCGGGGGCCCGCGCGGAAGGCCTTGGCCGGGCGGAGGGGCCCCCCGCCCGCGCCGAGGCCGCGGAGAGGCCGGTCCTCGCCGGCGAGGGCCCGGGCGATCCTCGACTCGAGGGATGTCGGGCGTGTCCCCCTACAGGGGGAGTCTCGACGAAAAATAAAAATACCCCAAAAATGCCCCAAGAAGGTCAAGAAATACTCAAAAAATAGTCCCCAGACTATCCTTGGACTATTGTTGGACTATTTTGGGGGTATGTCTTTTTTTTCGTCGAAAATCCCCCTGTAGGGGGAAACGCCCGACTTGAGACTTGAGGGATGCACAACCTGCATCCTCGACCCTCGATCCTCGCCTCGAGCCTCGAGCCTCGATCCGCGAGGTGCGAGGCGATCCTGGGAGTGCTCTGCAAAAGATCCTCGATCCTCCATGCCCTCAGGCCCCGGCGATTCTCAACTCGGTCCTCGATCCTCGATGTACAAGAACGGCGCTCATGCACAACCGATGCCGCCTCTACCCGGGCCGCTTCAGGGTTGCGTTCTGACCATGGTTTCGAAGCGAACCTGGCCGCGGCGACGAGGGACGGGTAGCGGCGTCGGCATGTCCTGAGCATTTTCTTGGGGTGGAGGGCTCAGGACGAAATCCAGATGGGCTTCTACACCTCGAGAGTCAATTCGCCTTGTGGTTCACCGTTAGCAGATCCAAGCCTCGAACATCTTTTACTATCGAGACCGCATTTCAGATGTCACCCTTTGCCCTCCGCCCAAAGAGAATGCCCGGGTCTCTTCTGATGGGCCACACAAGCACACATCCCTTGGGAGGGGACCTGGGTGAGCAGAGCCACACACATTCGGGATAGGGGTGTCCTCTTTGCAGACGTCAGGAGCGAACAACCACCCACCTGCTCAGGGACAGCTCGCAAAAGCCGAGGACCTCAGTCAGGCCAAGAGTTCCTTGTGTGTTTAGGCTTAGGGGTGGTATTCTGCCTTTTGGCTTTCGGGCCAAAGCTCGGCTCTCTGGCGGCCGTTAGGACCGATTCCGCCAGCCCGGGAACGCCCTCGACGACGCGCAGCTGCTCGAGGGCATCCCGAGACTGGGAAACCGCCAAGAACCGGGGAAAAGCCAAGAAACCGTTGGAAGACCCCCCTTTCAGCATCCTGGCTGCATGGGGCACGGGAGCTGCGGCAGGGCGAGCCAGACGGCGAGGACAAGCGGCGACAGAGCAGCATGCCGGCACTCGTCGGCGAGGGGCTGGACGCGTGCTTGTTTTCACCGTCGCACCGTCACACCACCACTGAGCTCAAACGCTCCGTCTGTCCAAAGACAGGCCCTGCGCAATCAGACCCACCCCACCTGCTCAGTTTGGGGCGAACCTCTCCCAATAGCCTGGAAACGGGAGCGCCTGTGAACACTGCCTTGCCTTTCCGCACCTCTCCAACAATTACCTCACCAGGGACAGGAAAGGCTGGGTCACTGTGATCCAAGGCCGTGCAAACAACTTTGATGCGAACATTGTTGCCATGCATCTCGAAGAGCAAACCAACTTGAGGTGGTGATTCATTGTCTGCGAAGGGGCCGCAACTCCAGGTCAGGTCTAGGAGAGCCGCGACATTGTCGACATTCGTGTCATGCCCTACGAGGACCAATGATCCTGGAGTTGAGTTATTCAATTCGCGTAGGATGCCCACGATTACTGCGCCGTCCCGAGTTGCTGGAGCCTCGCCGTTGTGGTTAATGCGATTATACAGCACATTCAGTGGCGAAAGGCGTTCCCACAGATACTGGCGACCTGTTTGGTTGTCTAGGCGTCCCCACGCCACTGGGATACCAGCCCCAGCTTCGAGAATGAAATTCTCGATCATACCTTGAGAAGATACAAACAAACCACCTACGTATATTCCGTTCTCATTGATGTGGTCGGAGATGGTAGAGATGCTTGGGGCTGCACCTGCGCCTACCAAGTCTTGAAGCTCAGCCTGAACTTGTCTACGCGTGCTCCATGCGTCTGACAAATAGTGACCGCCACTCGCCACTTCGCGGATCATCGCCTGCATGGTCATGGTTCTGTCTTTTGCATCTTCGGGCGCACACAACCCAGCCCATCCTGAAGGGTCCAGACTACGGGTGATGCCGTTGTAAGTTGCGACATTAGACGGTGATGCAACATTGAGACCCTTGACGATTTCTTCTGCTGACACTATGCACCTAGAAATGTTGTCCGCGACAACAATCACAGGAGCCTCAGGATTTCCTTCCAGCAAGCCTTGGGCGCGGAGAGACTTTCCAAATGTACGAGCGATGTCCTTCCCTCTTGAAGTACATGTTCCTTCGCCTTCGGCACTCCACAAGCTCTCACTTGGGAATGGCTGTGCGGTGTAATTGTTCGCATTGTCGAAGTTGGGATCTCCACGACGTCGGAGTGTCGGATACATACTGCGGGCGCAGTGTCGCACCAGAAGTATGCTATCAAAGCTCGATGCCAGCGTGACGATCCACAGCGAAAAGCCAGCTCGGAGCAGCTTCGTCATTGGAGCTGCCCTTCGCCACACAGATCACCTCACCCGGAAGCTGGCGACGTGCGCGGCTGGATGCACATTCGAGGCACGCAGAGGCCACGCGCTGGTTACACATGCGGAAGGCTGAAGACTGGCGTGCTTTACCACTGCACGGGCCGGCCGCTGGAAAGACCTGGGGCCACGCGTGTCTGCCCGCAGACCTGGCTCCGGCCGGCCACGCCATGTGCATCCAGCCTCCTGGTACGGCCGGACCCAGGACAGAAGCGCATCCTCCAAGAGCATGACACCCTCCGCTGGCCAAAACACACAGAACGTCCCAGGGTATCCATTCCCCAGGATGCACAAGAGCATCCAACGGACACGACGAACATGAACTAAGGCAACCTCCCCGAACCGGCCTCGGTCTTCTACCTCGGTCCGACCGTACTGGCTCTCTGAATTGGCCACCCCTGCACGCCGAACCCACCAGCTTGAGCCAGGGCGGTCGCGGAACTTGACCCGGCACGGCAGCGGAGAGTGACCGACTGGGCAGCGGGAGCACCGAGCTCGGACCTCCTCCCCGCCGAGCCGATGACGTGTCAACCAGGCCCACGGCTGAACGAGATTGGCAGCCTCTGCTTGCTTCGCGTGACCCTCCTCCTCCCCCTCCTCCTCCGTCCTACTCCTCCTCCATCCTCCTCTGTCCCCCTCCTACATCCTCCTCCGTCCTCCTCCTCCTTCTCCTCCTCCTCCTCCTCATCCTCGTCATCATCATCATCATCATCATCATCATCATCATCATCATCATCATCATCATCATCATCATCATCATCATCATCAACCCCCCCCCCCCATCATCATCATCAATCATCATAATCAATCATCCATCATCATCATCAGCATCTATCATCATCCATCATCATCAATCATCATCATCGTCCATCAATCGTCATCAGCATCAGTATCAGCATCAAGCATCAGCATCAGCATCAGCATCAGCATCATCATCATCATCATCATCATCATCATCATCATCATCCTAATCATCATCGTCATCAGCAGCATCAGCATCAGCATCAGCATCAGCATCAACATCATCATCAGATCATGGTCATCATCAGCATCATCATCATGATCATCATCATCGTCATCATCACCATTATCACCATCACCATCACCATCACAACCACAATCACCATCATCGTCATCATCATCATCATCATCATGATCGTCATCGTCATCGTCATCATCATCATCATCATCATCATCATCATCATCATCATCATCATCATCATCATCATCATCATCATCATCCGCCCTCCCCCTCCTCCTCCTCCTCCTTTGTCCTCCTCCTCCTCCTCTCCTCCTCCGTCGTCCGTCCTCCGTCCTCCTCCTCCCCCCCTCCTCCTCCTCCTCCTCCTCCTCCTCCTCCTCCTCCGTAATCCTCCTCCCTCCTCCTCACACACACACACGATAATAAATCCTGCTTGAAGGGATCTAGGGGCACATCCTTCCTCGACCTCGAGCCTCGTGAGGTGCATCAGGGCTCTGCGGGCTCATCGGGGGTACACAAACGTGGGCACACACGCGGTAGTAGGTCCCAAGATAGCCCACGAGGTGCCGAAGGGGCGCCCAAGAGGGCCCCAACAGGCAGAATCTGTTTTGCTATTCTTGAAGATTCCTCCTATAAATTGGCATGCCCGCCTTAACACTTGGTGCACACGTCAAGAAGTCTTGCTACAGGCTATTTAATACGGGCAGATTGTTCGGCTGATTTCGGACCTCGCGGGAAGCCCAAAAGCTCAAATTCGGGCCAGGGGCTGTCCGGGAATGACACATCGTGGGGCACCTGCTGCCAGGCTGGCTTCTTGTTTGGCGCTCCTGCTGTACGGCTTTCTGGTCGATGCCAATCTGCCCCACCTGGCCGACTTCTGCGTCGACGGCATGGTCCTCTCGCTGCTCCGCCCCTTGATGCGGAGGAGGAGGAGGAGGAGGAGGGGGAGGAGGAGGAGGAGGAGGAGGAGGGAGGAGGAATGAGGAGGAGGGGGGGAAGGAGGAAGAGAGAGGAGGAGGAGGAGGGGGAGGGGGGGGGAGGCGGGGGTGGGGGGAGGGATAGGAAGGGGTTTGGAGGAGGAGGGGAGGGGGGGGGGGGGTTGGCAGAGGGGGAGGGAGGAGGAGGAGGAGGAGGAGAGGAGGAGAGAGGAGGAGAGAGATGGGAGGAGGAGTAGGGGAGGAGGATGAGGGAGGAGGAAGGAGGGCGGAGAGGAGATTGCGGAGTAGAAGGTAAGAGTATGAATGTTGATGGGGGAGGAGGAGGAGGAGGAGGAGGAGGAGGAGGAGGAGGAGGAGGTGTACATGTTGATAAGTCACGAGTGTTGTGCAATGAGCAGTGTGTGCGTGATGAGGTTGCACGACGTCTGCAGGCGAACATGGGCACAACAGCTACACTACATGAGCTTAACCTCGGAATTGCTTTCTCTTGTGGGCGGCGCGTCGGGCATGCAGTACGCAAATCTCGGATTCAGGGTGCTCGTCAGCGCCTGAGGCGGATTGGCCTCATTCGCACGGGACAGAAGAAACGATTAGGAGTTCGGAAGGTTGCTCGTTCGGGTTTGGAGGCGAGTATGTCGTATGGGATGAATGTCACGGGATGCTCGACTTCGAACCTTGAGACTATGCGTAGCACTGCGTTTGCGTGTCTCACTGGGGCCACTGCTGGGAAGTCCCGCACTCTTGCCTTGATGTGCGAGAAGGATGCTGACCCGATCTTTCGGGCCACTCTGATGCCTGTGCTCACGCTCTGCCGAGCTATATGGGAGGGGTGGGTGCCGAGGCATGTGGTGCGGGATGGGCTGGAAGGTAGTTCGTCGGTCTCGCTCTGGACTCAAGTGTCTGGTCCTTTCAGTGCGTGTCGGCTGTCGCTGGCTCGCGTCGGCTGGTCGATACGCTCCGCCTTTGAGTGGACCACGCATGAGGGATTAGACCTTGATGTCAGTGTGCTCTGTCCTCGAGTGATCCGACACTATTTAGTTCAGGCCGCCACGGCCTGGCAATGGCGACAGGTGGCGAAGCATGATGATTTGAAACATCTGGAGTTTGGTGCGGTTTGGGTGCCCTTGGTCCAGGCTGTCTCTAGCGGACGGCCTCGCTGTGGTCAAAATCGGGACCTTCCGACCCTGGGGCCCGAGGCGCGTGCGTACCTTCGTTCGTGCATTGTTGGTGGGCAGTGGCCCATGGTCAGGAAGTTTGAAGCTAGGAAGGCCTTGAGCAATGAGTGTCTCATTTGTCGCAAGCCTGGTACTCTTGTCCACAGGCACTTCGAGTGTGATTTATGTCAGGAGCTGCCGTGCCCTGATGCGTTTACTCTGCTGGCTCAGGCTCAGGATCGGTCCCAGGTCCGAGTGCTTCTGGAGAGGGCGCTTTGGCCCATCCCGCGGACCTCGTGGAGGGCCCCTGCTCAGGACACTGTGGTCTGGCATCAGCATGCGGGGCCTGGGGTCATCATTGCCAAGGAAGCCTACCTGGACGGTTCGGCCTTTGAAGGCCAGTGGAGTAGTTTGAGTTGTACAGGCTGGGCCGTCGTTACTCTGCGTGATGAAGCCCCTCTCGGTGTTGTTGACATTGTGTACTGTACGTGTTCGCAGTCTGTGTTCGACATCGACGGGGCCGAATTGGAGCCCTTAATCTTCTTGATTCAGAATTCGTTGCCTCCGATCACTGCCGTCACTGATTCGGATTCTGTGTTTCGTGGAGTGACCGAGAGAGGGGAAAAGGCCACCACGGCCCATTCCTCCGCCTGGGCTTGCCTCTGGCGGGCCTTCTGGAGGGCCCTGGCTGATTTCGGCGGCCTGTGCGAGGCTGGTCTTTCGATGCGGAAAGTCAAGAGTCACTGCACGATGGCTGACGTGGATGCGGGCCGCATCACACGTCGAGACCGCTTCGGCAACTTCCAAGCCGACGTTTGGGCGAAGTTTGGAGGCCAGCTTGCGCGTGCGCCTGTCGAGGATAGGAAGCGCATGCAGCAGGCTGAGCAGTTTGTCGAGCAGGTGGGGCACAGGATTGGGGAGGTGGGCGCGCATGTGGACGGACGTGACACGACGCACGTTGCGCGCCGCACGCGTGTGAGCGCGCCCCCTCTCCTCATTGTTGTCCCTGCTCAGCTGCCTCATGATTTAAGAGGGCCTTCCAGGAAACCCTGGTGTGCTCGATGCCGTGCTGTGGCCCCCGTGTCCGAGGTCTGCCCTGGGTCGATCTCGACGCGTGCGCGTGATGCCAATGCGCGCTTGCACGAGCAGGGTTTGAAGG